AATGCACGCTCTGTGTGCAGCACCTTTAAATCTACTTCCATCCATGACCTATTTATCTCACACTCCCTAAACCTACTTGCACTAACAGAAACATGGCTCTCTCCCTCTGATACTGCTACACCTGCCTCACTGTCCTTTGGTGGTCTTCACTTTTCCCACAATCCAAGACAAGCGGAGATTAAAGGTGGCGGTGTAGGTTTTCTTCTCTCACCCCACTGCTCCTTTAAAACCCTGTCCACCCCCCCTTCCCTCCCTTTCCCATCATTTGAAATTCATTCAATTCACCTTTTCAAACCCTTCTCTGCTAACACTGCCGTAATCTATCGTCCCCTTGGTTCCCCTCTCCTCTTCCTTGACCACTTTGCTGCCTGGCTACCCTACTTCCTCTCTTCCAACATACCATCCCTAATTCTTGGAGACTTCAATATTCCCATTAACCCACCTTTAACCCCAGCAGCCTCTAAACTACTTTCAATTACTTCCTCCCTTGGACTTTTGCAGTGGGCTAATTCTCCCACTCATGTAGCTGGCAATACCCTTGACCTTATTTTCTCTTATTCATGTACAGTATCTAATATCTGCAACACTCCATTTCCTCTCTCTGATCACCACCTCTTATTGTTTGCTCTCAATTACCCCCTCACCCAACAATCTCAGCCTAACCCCCCTCAGCTCAGGAGGAACCTTAACTCTATTGACCTCCAGCAGCTGTCAGCTGACATTGATTCACAACTGCTATCCATCCCTTCCCTCTCCTGTCCCTCACTGGCCATCTCCACATATAACACTACCCTCACATCTGCCTTGAACGCTGCAGCCCCACTCCAAACATGCACCTCGAGGAGGACACGACCCCAACCTTGGCATAATAAATCAACACGCTATCTGCAGAGTTGCTCCCGTTGTGCTGAACGCTCCTGGAGGAAGTCCCGCACCCAGGCAGACTTTCTCCATTATAGATTCATGTTGGTTTCATACAGCGCAGCCCTTGCCCTCGCCAAACAGTCATACTTTTCCTCTCTCATTAGTTCATGCTCCCACAATCCCAGACGTCTCTTTGACACCTTTAATTCCCTTCTCCGCCCTGCTGTGGCCACCCCCCAAACTAACCTTACAGCTGATAGCTTTGCATGCTACTTTACCGACAAGATTGAACAGCTAAGGAAACAATTCTCCCCTCCTTGCCGTTCTCTTTCTCAACCACATGTAAATCATGCTTTCCCTACCCTCCAGACTTTCTACCCGGCTACTGAACAAGAGGTGGCTGCACTTCTCCATTCCTCTCGCCCCACCACTTGCCCGCTCGATCCTGTCCCATCTCACCTCATCAGATCTCTCTCCCCTTGTCTTGTGCCTACCCTAACACACATCTTTAACTGCTCTCTCTCTTCTGGCACTGTTCCTGCTGACCTTAAACATGCCACTGTAATACTATCCTGAAAAAAACATCTCTTGACCCATCCTCCCCTTCTATCATCCCATATCCCTGCTCCCTTCCTCATCAAAGCTTTTGGAAAGACTTGTCTTTACCCGTATGTCTCGCTTCCTTTATTCCAACTCTCTCCTTGACCCTCTTCAGTCTGGCTTCCGCCCTCTCCACTCTACTGAGACTGCCCTTATCAAAGTGACTAATGGCCTAATCTCCGCTAAATCCAAAGGTCACTACTCCATATTAATTCTCCTTGACCTCTCTGCTGCCTTTGACACCGTTGATCATGCTCTCCTCCTTCAAACTCTTCAATCGCTCGGTCTCTATGACTCTGTCCTCTCTTGGTTTTCCTCCTATCTCTCCCAACGCTTATTCAGTGTCTCTTTTTCCAAGGATACCTCCTCCCCTCGTCCTGTCTCGGTTGGAGTTCCCCAAGAGTCTATCCTTGGTCCCCTTCTATTTTCTCTTTATACTGCCTCTCTTGGTAAACTTATTGCCTCTTTTGGATTCCACTACCACCTGTACGCTGATGACACTCAGATATACCTCTCCTCCCCGGACCTCTCCCCTGCCGTCCTGCAACGTGTCACTGCTTGCCTTTCTTCCATCTCTGACTGGATGTCCTCACGCTTTCTGAAACTTAACCTCTCTAAAACTGAACTCCTTGTCTTTCCTCCTCCTAATACTGATCCTCCTCTCTCGCTCTCCCTTCAAGTCAGTGATATCCACATAAGTCCATCCCTGCAAGCACGCTGTCTTGGCGTCATACTTGACTCTGGTCTCACCTTCAGTTTGTTGCCAAATCCTGTAGGTTCCAACTCAAAAACATAGCCCGCATCCGCCCCTTTCTTACGCAAGATGCTACCAAGGAGCTTGTCCATGCTCTAGTAATTTACCGCATGGATTACTGTAACCCTCTCCTGATTGGTCTCCCCAAAAGCCGTATTGCCCCGCTACAGTCTGTAATGAATGCTGCAGCTAGACTGATTTTCCTCTCTAGTCGGTCCTCTCACACCTCACCCCTCTGCCAGTCCTTACATTGGCTCCCTGTATGCTATAGGAGTCAATTCAAAGTGCTAACCCATACATTTAAAGCACTGAACAATTCTAGCCCCTCTTATATCTCTTCACTAATCCATAGATATGCCCCTCCTCGTACCCTCCGCTCTGCCCGTGACCACCTCCTGACCGCTGCTCGCACCCGTACGGCCAACTCGCGCTTGCAGGACCTCTCGCGGGCGGCTCCTCTCCTATGGAATAGCTTGCCTACTGCCATCAGACTCTCCCCTAGTCTTCAATCATTTAAGAAGGGCCTTAAAACCCATCTCTTCAGGAAAGCTTATGGCCTCCCAGAGTAATCTCTACCTTACATACCTGTCTCCTGCTCTCTCCTATGGGACAGTGCTTTGCTCTCTCCTCCAGCTCTGCTTCACTCCTACTTGATATTTCCTGTCCTAATGTTTCTAATACCCACCTCCTATAGTCTGTAAGCTCGTTTGAGCAGGGTCCTCTTCAACCTATTGTTCCTGTAAGTTTTCTTGTAATTGTCCTATTTATTGTTACAACCCCCCTCTCAAAATATTGTAAAGCGCTACGGAATCTGTTGGCGCTATATAAATGGCAATAATAATAATAATAATAATAGATAGTCTGGTCCATAGCCTCCACAGAAAGGCAAAGTGCTTGTCCGCTAAATATTGGAAATCGAGAAAGACATATAAAACTAACTAGAGAAAAAGGAAAAAAAGGTAAGTGTAAAAAAATATTAGAGTTAATAGTTCATAATGTGCACAGCGCTAAAAAGTACACAGTTAAACACCCAGACTACATGCACCTTCGTCAGATAGCATTACCTGTAAAGCATGTTAAAACGTCAGATTTGCAAATTCTATTCCCAGTAAGTCCACCACAGCATTTCCTCCCCCATGAAACAGTAACATTTGTAATTTTAATTTGGATAATAATTCTATTTATTCCCAGGCCTAGCATTCTCATTGAAGTGAGAATTCCCAGGAATTGAAAATGAGGTTCAGATTTAAGGCCAAAGTAGCTGAAATAGAAATGTAGTTGACTTTGAGAATTTCTCCAGTTCAGTTATTTCAGCCTTAAATTTGAAATTCACTTTCAAATCTCAGTAAAAGTAGATACAACCATTAATTGGTGATTAGGTACCTTCTAAATTGCCATTAGGAGCTTACTCTGCGCTGCTTTGTTTTGACAACACAGACTAAAATAATGGCACTTAGTTTAAAGGTTGTTTTATTATTTAAAAGATAAGTGAAGGGATACTATAGTGCCAGGAAAGCAATGAGCTGAAGTTGTCTGGGTGCCTTGAGTGTCCCTTTAATAAACATGAAAGGAAAAGGCAATATAGTTAACTCTGTCACTTTAAAATGTATACAATATCTAACTTTAGTTTGGGATTTTAAAATGGAATGTTACCAGTAAAGTCTCAACTCACGTCATGTTTGCTCCAGTATTGGTTTTCACCCTGCTGAGAAACAAATGGCTTTGAAAAGGGATTGTGAATGGTTCCTTCTCCCACATACCACACTGAACTGTGTTCATATGTAAAAAGAAAAGAGAGGAAGGAGGGCTCTGAATATACTACATAGATTTGCAGGCTGACTGAAATATTGCAAGACATGGGATATCTTACACTCACTAAAATGTATGTCCAACAATATTTCTGTAATATTGCAGAGTAAATCATACATAAAAAGTATAAATTTACATAATTAGAGTATTTATTAGTTTTTCACAAATAAATTGTGAAGCACGTTAAATTGCTTGTTTTACTTTCATTTTATACGCTTACCATACATCCAGTGTTTGTGTTATTATATAATTAGGTAAACAAAGAGTTAAGGAATAGTGATGTCGCGAACCGTTCGCGAACTTCCCGCGAACGGCTCGCCACGAACTGTTCGCGGCGAGCTCCGGTCAGCTGACACATCCCGACCAATCTCCAGCAGACCCTCCCTCCCAGACCCTCCCACCTCCTGGACAGCATCCATGTTGAAGGCAGCCGTTCACGGCGGGATCGTGACATCACTATTAAGGAACCCCAGAACATTGGTGGAGGGGAAAATTAATACAGCAGGCTTTAAGGATTATTTGCTGAATACAATGACCTTCATTTTTATTTCTTGAACTCTCCAGCCAGGAAAGATTACTAATCAATGAATCTGGAGAAACTGCCGGTTCCCACATTCCCCACATTCATATACTTCTCCCATTAGCTTGCTCCTTAACACAGACACCTTGGCTACTGTGCACAATGGAGGAAACAGGAGTAGGTCAATCTAGACATCAGGATAGCTAATGATGGAGACCAGAGGGCAGATGAAAGGAGGAATTATATTGGGCCCTAGGTGTCAGGCAAATAAGAAATGGGTGTTAAGTTTCAGGCACATAGGGAATGAGTATTGAGGCACATATGGGAAATTGGGAGGCAACCAATGCAGTTTATGTAGGTGTTCAGGAAAAGGTGAACTACTTTCATCTTCAATAAAAAATATTGGCCTGGTTTAACCCCTTAAGGACACATGACATGTGTGACATGTCATGATTCCCTTTTATTCCAGAAGTTTGGTCCTTAAGGGGTTAAACAGTATTAACCCCTTAGGGACCAAACTTCTGGAATAAAAGGGAATCATGACATGTCACACATGTCATGTGTTCTTAAAGGACCACTATAGTGCCAGGAAAACATACTCGTTTTCCTGGCACTATAGTGCCCTGAGGGTGCCCCCACCTCCAGGGTCCCCCTCCCGCCTGGCTTTGGAAGGGGGAAAGGGGGAAAAACTTACCTTTTTCCAGTGCTGGGCGGAGAGCTCTCCTCCTCCGATCCTCCTTCTCTCCTCCCCGTCGGCTGAATGCGCACGCGCGGCAAGAGCTGCGCGCGCATTCAGACGGTCACATAGGAAAGCATTCATAATGCTTTCCTATGGACGCTGGTGTGCTCTCACTGTGAAAATCACAGTGAGAAGCACGCAAGCGCCTCTAGCGGCTGTCAATGAGACAGCTGCTAGAGGAAATAGGGGAAGGCTTAACCCATTCATAAACATAGCAGTTTCTCTGAAACTGCTATGTTTATGAAAAAATGGGTTAGCCCTAGCTGGACCTGGCACCCAGACCACTTCATTAAGCTGAAGTGGTCTGGGTGCCTAGAGTGGTCCTTTAAGGGGCTAAAGCATGAGAGTGCCATGTTCTGCACAAAGAAAATGGCATACAGGGCTGTCAGAGGGCTTTCTCGTCTAATAGACTTCAGAGGTGCCAGCACAACCTCTGGATCCAGTATGTTGAAACACAAACATAATTCTACCCTAAATTCTCTTTCAAAATGTTATTTACTCCCATCTTCATACTGCTCTATTCCTTTCACCTGCTTCTTTACTATTAATTTCCCCACAATAGGGCAAGTTACTTGAGCTGTTGTCCATTCTCAGTATTCTTCTGCACATAGTTTTTTTGCCTATACATTTAACTGTAAGTTATATTAAGGTCAATGTTGGAATTACTGGAGGAATAGAGGGAAGAATGGATGCATTCAAAGCACGGATTGATAGAAGAAGGGTCCACCAGATCTAGTTCCCCTAGGTTTCATTCCACCATTTGCTTGGGTCGCTGACTATAATAAATCAACCTGTGCATTTCTGTGAATCAAACATTGAAGAACTGAGCTTTGAATTATTAAGCTCTGAATCATTCAAGTTTTAATTTGATAAGTTCAGGTATTCCGAGCATGCTTACATATAACTACAGTATCAGCTGCATAATTTCACTTTTTGACATTTTTGCCTTTCACAATCAATGTGCGAAGACTGTAGCAATAAGTACTTATAATGTAAATCCATTTAATCATAAGAGCTATGGTGTATTAAACAGAATTAATTTTAAACATGAAGCACTTCAAACAATGTACTTTAGAATTGAAAATATGAATAATCAACTTTGCATGTTGTTAGCTTAGTCAATTTTAATTCAGTGAATCGATAAATTTAAATAAGCAGTTGCTCCAGGGTTACCCTTTCTAGATTCACAGTGAACAAATAGAGCAAATGTTATTAAGTACAGACTATCTAAATGTAATAATACTAATTACGTTAAGCAAACCTCTGTTTAAATTATTAATTTATTATAAAACAATATATAAAAATATATTAACAATGGTTAATATTTAAAGGGTCATTCACTAAACACTGGATTTTGTTCAGATGTACAGAATACACTGAAAATCCCCTACTTCTTACCAGACTGGCTATTCTCATATTTACTGAATCTAATTCTGAATTCCGGTGCATGGCCAGATGCATTCTGTGTCTGATATACAAAACATAAGATTTTGAATATATACAAAGCACTGATTTTAAACTGAATAGGATGCACATTTGCTTTAGACAATCAAATAATAATTTTAAGTACTATTTTACCACTGGTGGTACTAGCAGCAAATAGTTAAAAACCCATTGGCAGTGCTTACCAGCCAGTTACCACATTAAGAAAGTGAGAAAAAAACTTCTGGGGGACACACCATATTAGTTGGAAGGAGGCGTAAAATCTACAGTATAACCCTACCTTCCCGTGCTAAGCTAAATAGGAAGACCTTATATGGAGATGGGGTCTGTAAAATAACAGGGGGTGGAGGGGGGGTTGGCATAGTTTCTTCAACAGCGCACTCATTAGATGGGGTCTAAAAATTCAATAATGGGATGGACAAGTTAGGGCATTTTTTACTGGGTGGTGGCCAGAGGCTTAGGGGCCCCTCTGGAAAAAAAACTTGTCCCAGGCATTTTCTTATCACAGCAGACTAGTGGAAAGGGGCGGGGCCTGAGAGAGGGGTTGTTGTGTCATTACCAATGATAATCACTCCACCCACAAAGTAAGCATGTCGGTTTAATGCTCTTTCAGGGCAGCCCATGCGCATGTATTTGTTCTTCACAGTGCAAGCAAATTTAATGACACATTTGCCTTGCGTTTGCTTGTGACTTGTCTCTGGTGTCTCCATAAGTGGGATACCAGAGGACAATAGGGCCAGGAAAGTGTATTGTACATGTGTTTGGAGGCTGCTTGTGGCAATGCTTGTGTGTAGAGTGTGCTGATTGTGGTGAGGTGTTTTGTGTAAATAGGTTGGATTCAGTTGTATGGTGTTTGTGGTTTAATATGTGCAGCTATGAGCTGTAGTGTGTTTGGCTAGGGGATGTATAGAGTGTGTAGTTACTGTAGTGCGTGTGTGTATCAGGGGCATATCGTATGTATAGAAGATGCAGTGAGTGTGTGAATAGGGAATGTATAATACGTGTGTATAGGTGATCTAGTGTGTGGACCTCAGAGAGTGTGTTTAGAGAATGCACTGTGTGTGTTTGCGTACAGGAGATATAGTGTGTGCATAGGGGATCAAGAGTGTGTATAGGGAATGTAGTGTGTATGTCATGAATGTAGTGTGTGCGTAGGTGGTGCAGTGTGTGTCTAAAAGGTATATAGTATGTTTAGAGTGTGTAACAGGATGTAGTGTGTGTGTGTTTAGGTGGTATAGTGCATATGCGATGTGTGTGAGAGGTGCAATGTGTGAGGATTGCAAAGTGTTTGTATGAATTCTACATTGTGTGTGGGAGGTTGAGAAGGGAGCAATTATATTTACTATTTTTATTTAAAAAAATGCAAAAAACTTTATTTCTCCCATCTCTTTTTCTTACATGGATATTACAAGCCCTAGCGGTCTGGTGGTATTGAGTGACTCCACTAGCTGCAATCTATGTACATTCCTCTTGCAAGCTTTGGCTACGTGCTGTGTCGGAGCTTTGCCGTAGTAACTGCGGCAACGCTCCGTGCTTGTGAGAGGACTATTCAGCCTCTGTTACTCCTCTCCTCAACCAGGTGCTTGTGGGCCGGCTTTGTCTCTAGGCATTTTCCTGGATTGCCTGATGGCCAGTCCAGGCCTGGCCCTAACCACTGGGAAGGAGTGACAGGGTGGATTGACCCCTGTTGATAGGTAAATAGTCCCTAACTGGACTTTGGTGAATACACTTGTTAGTATTTCGAAAGGTATCATGGATATCATGGGTATTTAGGAAAATATTGAATCTACAATTCCACACTTTGAAAGACAAACATAATTCTACATATGTTTTCATGCAAAGAAAAATTTCAACCAGGACAACTGTCACCTTTAAACAAAGATTTAACGATATACAAACATGAATGCACTAGTCCTAACAGTCAGATCTAGCCAAACGAAATAGATCCAAATCTTGAAAATACAGGTTGGAGGCAGAACTTGTTACAGTTAGTGTAGTACAGAAACACCTGTGGGAAGTAGTTAAGTGCCAGAAGCACTGTTCCCTGAGTAGACAGTTACAAGCTCGAGAGAAGCAGAAAAGGAGCACGCGCATAGAGCGGGAATGTCAGTATATTCAGACAGAGAAAGCACCAAGGCGGAGGTTGCACAAAGTGCTTGATTGTCAATGAAATACAAACAAAAATCAAGAATATGCGAGAATGGAGACAATGAAGAGTGTGGTGGCGATATAGAGATCTAAAGTGAATGTATATACCAAATAGAGAAATGACAGAGAAAAACAAAAGGAAAGCGGAAAATACAGATTGTCATGGTAACCAGATATAACTGTATAGCCATGAGGATATACACAGTAACATATTAGCTGGCATAATGTCCCAGTCCCTATGATAACTTTGAGCAAAGGGAGAGAGATACTGAGTTCTGTACACCAAATATATGTCCCAATGGTAGAGAAGGACACAAGAGGTGATGCTTAATTAAACCCATGGGTAGGGTATACAAATGTTTGGTAAGTATGATAAGAGATACACTAAGGAGGGATATCCTAACGCGGTAATATGGAGCAGTGCTCCTCAGCCCTCTCCTCAAGCAAAGTCTAACAGTGCAGGATTTAGGGATTACACGGGTGTGTCAAAGGCAGGCATAGGCAACCTTTGGCACTCCAGATGTTTTGGACTACACCTCCCTTGATGCTTTACCAGCATTATGGGTGTAAGAGCATTATGGGGGATGTAGTCCACAACATCTGGAGTGCCAAAGGTTGCCTATACCTGGTGTAAGGTGTTAAAGAAAAATTAAAAACGCCTTAGATTCTAAGGTGTTTTTTTTCTTCTCTTTCTAAACACCTTAGACACACCCACGTAATCCCTAAATCCTGGACTGTGAGGTTTTCCTTGAGTAGAAGGTTGAGGAATAGTGATGTCCCGAACAGTTTGCCGCGGACTCATCATTGAGTAAACTTTGACCCTGTACCTCACAGTCAGCAAACACATTCCAGCCAATCAGCAGCAGACCCTCCCTCCCAGACCCTCCCACCTCCTGGACAGCATCCATTTTACATTCATTGTGAAGCTGCATTCTTAGTGAGCTGTCCAGGAGGTGGGAGGTACAGGGTCAAAGTTTACTCAATGATGAGTCCGTGGCGAACCGTTCGGCGAACTGTTCGGGACATCACTATTGAGGAACACTGAGATAGAGGATAGTTAGCTACAAACTAAAGAGAGACCTCTTCTGGAAGACAGAGTTAGTGCTGGTAAAGCAGCAAACAGGTTTGATGAGTCATAACTAAACTACAATGTATAATGGACTTGCATATTAACAGTAACACTATATAAAAAATAAGGAGTATGCGATCT